GCCTGCTCCCGCTGTGCCACCGGCTACTGGGGCTTCCCCCACTGCAGACGTGAGTACCCCAGTCTTTAGGGCACCTGTGCTGGGGGCAGGGTTGGCTCTCGATCCCCAGGGGGCCTTCCTGGTGAAGGGGATCAGCAGAAAACGGGGACACGGTGGTCAGGAGAGCATTACAATGCCTGCAGATGAGCCCTGCCACCTCTTGCCTGAGGACCGTAGGTAGCTAGCGGCCCAGGCTCAGGGTTGCTGCCAAAATGCTGCCACCTCTCTCTCCCTCTTCTACAACAATGGGGCCCGGCCTTGTGGCTGCCACGAAGTGGGTGCTACGGGCCCCACGTGTGAGCCCTTCGGGGGCCAGTGCCCCTGCCGTGCCCACGTCATTGGTCGTGCCTGCTCCCGCTGTGCCACCGGCTACTGGGGCTTCCCCCACTGCAGACGTGAGTACCCCAGTCTTTAGGGCACCTGTGCTGGGGGCAGGGTTGGCTCTCGATCCCCAGGGGGCCTTCCTGGTGAAGGGGGTCAGCAGAAAACGGGGACACAGTGGTCAGGAGAGCATTACGATGCCTGCAGATGAGCCCTGCCACCTCTTGCCTGAGGACCGTAGGTAGCTAGCGGCCCAGGCTCAGGGTTGCGTAGAAGGTTCTGGTGGCCAGCAAGTGGTCTGCACGCCGCAGCAACGAGATTAGTGGTGGCAGCCATCCCCATGTCAGAGGAGCGACCTGAGACTCGGGCCTGGGCTGGGTGGAACCTGGGCAGGGGGTCCCTAGCCTGGACCCTTCCCCCGTGGCCACATCCCCAGGGCTGCAGTCGGGCCTCTGAGTCGGGCGGGACGAGAGCACAGGGGTCCCTGCCTTGTGCCTGCTCCCCACAGCCTGCGACTGCGGTGCCCGCCTCTGCGACGAGCTCACGGGCCAGTGCATCTGCCCGCCGCGCACCATCCCACCCGACTGCCTGGTCTGCCAGCCCCAGACATTCGGCTGCCACCCTGTGGTGGGCTGTGAGGCATGCAACTGCTCAGGGCCTGGTGTTCAGGAACTCATGGACCCAACCTGCGACGTGGACAGCGGCCAGTGCAAGTGAGAGCCCAAAGCGGGGTCTCCAGAGCCAGCATTTCCATTCGCAAGCGGGTCCTGGTGCCTACCCTGCCCCCATTCGTGGTCTCCTTCAGTTCTTGGACACCACCCGGGCGGGGGACGCATGCGGGCTCTCGCCTCAGCCCGAGTGACCAGGGGTGGAGGGACACCCAGCCAACTCCTGCCCCCACTCACAGGTGCAGACCCAACGTGGCTGGGCGCCGCTGTGACACTTGTGCTCCAGGCTTCCATGGCTACCCCAGCTGCCGCCCCTGCGACTGTCACAAGGGGGGCACAGTGCCCGGCGTGTGCGACCCTCTCACAGGCCAGTGTTACTGCAAGGTGAGGGGGGCCCGGGCCCCACCTTACCCCTCCACCCCGCCTCATCAGCTGAAAGGTGTCCTTGGGGCCTTCCTAGACTGCTAGGGCTTCCTGGGAGCTTCTGGGGAATCACCCCAGTGGGCAGGGGATGGGAGCCACGGGGGGTCGGGGGCCCAGCACATGGCTGACCGACCCTTGCTTCCCCCCGCCTGCCCCCAGGAGAACGTGCAGGGCTCAAGGTGTGACCAGTGCCGCCTGGGGACCTTCTCCCTTGATGCTGCCAACCCCAAAGGCTGTACCCGTTGCTTCTGCTTCGGGGCCACAGAGCACTGCAGGAGCTCAGTCCACACTCGCCAGGAGGTGTGCTAATGGGGGACAGAGGGGCTGGGACTGAGAGCAGTGCCACCTCTGGGAGGGCACACGTCTCCTGGACTGGAACATGGGACAGGGCCCTGCAGCATGTGTGGGCATCCACCCTGTGCGCATGCCTGTGTGCCCACTCATGTGTGCCCACCCATGTGACCCACACGTGTGTGCCCACAGTTCGTGGACATGGAGGGCTGGGTGCTGCTGAGCGGTGAGCGGCAGGTTGTGCCCCATGAGCGGCAGGCGGGTACAGAGCTGCTCTATGCGGACCTGCGGCACATGCCGGACGCCTTCCCTGAACTGTACTGGCAGGCCCCACTCTCTTACCTGGGGGACCGGGTGAGCAGGGGCATCAGGTCTGGGGGAGGGTGGTTCGAGGATGGCCAGGACCCCTGGGAGGACTGGGAGGGGGCAGTGAGGTTACATCCAGGGAGGGAGAGCTCTGTGAGGGTGGCCATGAACCCTGCAGGCCTGTTCTAGGAGAAGGAGTGGGAGAGAGAACCCGGGCCCAGACCACAGCCAGCTCTGGGGACAAGACCTCTGTTGTCAGACTCTGGGCCTGTGGCCGGGGTCTGGCCAGGTCACCTCCCTTTGTCCTGTCTGCAGGTGTCGTCCTATGGTGGGACCCTCCACTATGAACTGCACTCAGAGACCCAGCGCGGAGATGTGTTCATCCCCACAGAGAGCAGGCCGGACGTGGTGCTGCAGGTAGAGGGGGGTGCACATGGCCTGGCAGGCGGTGGGTGTGGCCGGCAGGGACAGTGGCCAGCCCCGTTGCTGGCCTCACTGGCCCTCGTGCCTCTCTAGGGCAACCAGATGAGCATCACGTTCCTGGAGCCAGCGTACCCTGCACCTGGGCACATTCACCACGGGCAGCTGCAGCTGGTGGAGGTGAGTGAAGCCAGCCTGGGCACCCTGGGCCCCTGGACCCCAGTGTGGCACAGGGAAGGCCAGAAGGGGCCTGGCGCTGCTGTGCCCGTTCTCTGTGATGAACAAGAATCCAGGTTCAGGTGGGGTGGTGGCCAGTGGGCCTGTGGCTCCACGCACCCTTGGCCCCTTCCCCCTGAGCTCCTCTTTGTGTGTCCCCACCTCTCTTTTTGATTGTTAGTCTTTTTCTTATCTTTTTAGAGGAGCTCTTTGTAATTCTTGACACGTGTCCTTTTTGGGACTTCAGAGTAGCAGCCAATTCTCCCAGTCTGTAGCGTATCCTAAGATGTCTTTTGATGAACTGTAGTTACATTTAGTGTTCTCAAGTTTACCAATTTTTCATTTGCAGTTAGTGTTTCTGTCTCATTTAAGAAAGTATTTGTCTCTGCAAGATCAGAAAGTACTCGCTTATATTTTGTTCTGAGAGCTCAAGCTCTTTTCTCTGCGTGTTTAAATTCTGAATGCAGCAGGAGTTGATTAGTGTGTGTGGTGTGAGGTGGGGATCCACGTGCTGGTTTTCCACCTGGGTAACTGACCGGTTTTTCTAGCTCTATGTGTAACCTCCTCCTGCCCTGTGATCTGCATGCCCCTCTGTTTCTATGGGAGGGCTGGTTCTGCCCCACTGGGTGTGGCCCCACCAAGGTCTCAATCTTGGACCTGCAGGGGAACTTCCGGCACACGGAGACCCACAATGCTGTGTCCCGCGAGGAGCTCATGATGGTGCTGGCAGGCCTGGAGCAGCTGCAGATCCGTGCCCTCTTCTCACAGACCTCCTCAGCCGTCTCCCTGGGCAGGGTGGCACTGGAGGTGGCCAGCGAGGTGGGCGGGGGGCCTCCAGCCAGCAATGTGGAGCTGTGCATGTGCCCTGCCAACTACCATGGGGATTCGTGCCAGGTGAGGCGGGGGGCCAGCGCCAGGCCCTGAGGCTGCCCCCGCCCATGCGCACTGTCCTCTTGAGCATTCTCCCACTGGCCCTCCGCTTCCTCTCTGTCCCTGTTCACCAGCTGCCTGCCTGCCCCTGGGGCTGCTGATGCCCTGTCCCCTGACTACCTGTGCATCCACCGCTCTGCCTGCCCCTCCACACGCACAGTGCTGTTTATCCATTTCCTGCCCATTCCAGCCCCCCACCCTCCACTTTACCCAGACATTATCCACCACCCATCCTAACGCCCACTAACCATCATCCACTCATCCCCTTCCTGTTGTGTGTCCATCCACCCACTCATCTGTCCGTCCAGTCTAGCATGGCTCCTACCGTTGAAGGAGGTTTGTGGCTCAACACTCCCTAGTAAGAGATGTTTGGAGTAGGAAGAGAAGGTCCTAGCCTCCGTGGAAGGGGGTGTCACCAGCTCCAAGGCCCAGCTGTTCCTGAGCCAGGCATCTGTGTGGCTTTGGAACTTTATCCTTCTGCCTGGGAGACAGCGCCAGATGCTTGGCCCATCTCCAGCTGGTCAGGGCCGGGAATCCCTGCCCATGGCCCAGCCTCTGAACCACGGACATGGTATCCCGTGGGCAGTGCTCCCAGCAGCCCCTAGCCCCATGCTCGGTGAATGCAGTATTCCCGAGGGTCTGATGTGTGAGCACCTCCCTGATCCGCCACAGCTTTGGGCTGGACCTGCCTCCTTTCCTTATCGCTGATGCCCCACCCCCACCTCCCCCAGGAATGTGCTCCTGGCTATTACCGGGACATCAAAGGTCTCTTCCTGGGCCGATGTGTCCCCTGTCGGTGCCACGGCCATTCAGACCGCTGTCTCCCTGGCTCTGGCATCTGCGTGGTGAGTAGGGGCCTGGTTGGGGGAGGGGTAGCCACCAAGGGCTTAATCAGGCACACCGGAGAAGACTCCCCCTTCAGGGCTGTAGTTGCAGGTAAACTGAGATCCAGAAAGAAGAGAGGTGCCCTGGGTAGGGCCCTGGCTGGCCTTGGGCATGGAGTTCCTGGCAGGGCTGGGGTGGGGATTGACCCTGCCGGCAGGATGTGGGCCTCTACTGTCAGCTGACTGCCCCCTCTGCCCCAGGGCTGCCAGCACAACACCGAGGGGGACCACTGCGAGCGCTGCCAGGCCGGCTTTGTGAGCAGCAGGTCCGAGGACCCCACAGCTCCCTGCATCAGCTGCCCTTGCCCACTTGCAGTGCCATCCAACAAGTAAGCGGTGCCAGCCCCTCCAGGGTCAAAACCCCGGACAGTGGCCACAGTCCCTTCACAGCCTTGCCCCCTGGAGCCCCACCATCTGGCAGCTGGTTGGGCTCACACAGCCCTCTGCAGAGGTCCCGGCAGCTGGGGTGGGCCCATTAGGTAGGGACCCCTACACTTGGTGCCTGGCCTAGCCTGGCACTGCCCAGGGCCGGGTGGTGTGCAGATGTGTGTGGCCCATGGTTCTGTTCTTGCAGCTTCGCTGAGGGCTGCATCCTGAGAGGTGGCCGCACACAGTGCCTCTGCAAGCCGGGCTACGCAGGGGCCTCTTGTGAGCGGTGAGCCAGCGGTGGGCAGGTGGAGGGGCAGCATGGAGCAGAGTGTGGCAGCAGGGGGTGGCTCAGGCCACTGACGTGCTGCCCCCGCCCCCAGGTGTGCACCCGGCTTCTTTGGGAACCCACTGGTGCTGGGCAGCTCGTGTCAGCCCTGTGACTGCAGTGGCAATGGTGACCCCAACATGCTCTTCAGTGACTGTGACCCCCTGACGGGCGCCTGCCGCGGCTGCCTGCGCCACACCACTGGAACCCGCTGCGAGAGTTGCGCTCCTGGCTTCTATGGCAACGCCCTGCTGCCTGGCAACTGCACCCGTAGGCGTGGGCACGGAGGGTCGCACAGGGCTGGGGACCTCCTGGGTGTACCTAGGGGCAGGCCATGTGCCTGGGGCAGGGGCCCAGCTGGGATAGGGTATGCCTGGCCAGGTCCCGGTGGGCAATTGCGGGCTATGGGGTGGGGAGGGCCAGGCAAGGACCCTTGAGTGAGCGGGCCACTGTGTGGTCCAGGCAGCCTTGATCAATGAAAAGTGGAGGGCTTGGGACTTGTAAGGGCTTCCAGGGGGGTGGAGGAGGGTCTGAGGCCATCATCACATCTCCCTTCTGCAGGGTGCGACTGCTCCCCATGTGGGACAAAGGCCTGCGACCCCCACAGCGGGCGCTGCCTATGCAAGGCGGGCGTGGCAGGGCGGCGCTGTGACAGCTGTCAGGTGGGCTGCCTGGTGGTGCCTTGGGAGGGGTGGGGCACAGGGAGGAGCTGTGCTTGAGGGGAGGGGCCTCGGGGTGGAGGGGGAAGCCCTGAGGGTTGGAGGTCCACCCCGGGGCTGGGGTCCAGCTTTCAGGTGCAGGAAGTATGGTCTTAAGGGCCAGACAGGGCCATGACCGCAGCCTGTGCCACAGGAAGGACACTTCGGCTTCGACAGCTGTGGGGGCTGCCGCCCATGCGCCTGTGGACCGGCCGCTGAGGGCCCCGAGTGCCACCCCCAGAGCGGGCAGTGCCGCTGCCGACCAGGGGCTGGGGGACCCCATTGTCGCGAGTGTGCTCCTGGCCACTGGGGGCTCCCTGAGCAGGGCTGCAGGCGTGAGTGCGGGTGGCCACAGGAGGGTGGGCAGGCCTCGTGGGGCACCCCGAGGCCCTGGGCCCACCCCACTCACCTGCCCCTCCTGCTATAGGCTGCCAGTGCCCGGAGGGCCACTGCGACCCACACACGGGCCGCTGCACCTGCCCTGCGGGGCTCAGCGGGGAGCGCTGTGATACCTGCAGCCAGCAGCACCAGGTGCCCGTGCCAGGAGGGCCAGGGGGCCACGGTGTCCACTGCGAAGGTGGGCCCTGCGCCACACCCCTGCTGTCTTTCTACCCTCCCCCCTCCACCTGGGTGGTCAGGGCTCCCTACACTGGCTTGGTGACCCTTGTGTTAGCCTCAGCCTCCCAGAGTGTTCCCAACGGTCCCTCTCAGTTTCCCAAAGGACCCCGTGACTCCATGCTAACATCACACTCAGCCCTGGGCCCCTAAGTCAGTGCTGTGGCCCCAACACTGAACCCACCCCACCAGCTGACCCCCGCTGGCTCTGGACCCTGCCCAGCTGTCCTAGTGCTGGCTTCCTGGCCTCCTCACCCCTGTGATAACCTTTCAGCTGACCCTGGGATCCCCATGCTGACCTCTGATCCCCCACTAACCTTGTCACCTTCATCACAGCTCAGTCTCTAGTCCCAACTCCGTGACCCCTATGCTGACCCCATGAGCCCTCTGTTAGTCTTGTGACCCTATGTTGACCCCATGAGCCCACACTAACCCCATTGCCTTCATTCCCTACTCCCCTGGCTGCCACCATGACTCTGGTTCTGGCCCTGTCCCCTTGCACTGACCCCACTGTCTCCCCTGTGTGGCCTCACTCTCCTGGCTGACCCTTTGCCCCTCACCCTAGCCTGTGACCCTATGCTGGCCTCGTGACACTAGCTGACCCATGCTCCCCTTCCCTGACCCCCAGTGTGTGATCACTGTGTAGTCCTGCTCCTGGATGACCTGGAGCGGGCCGCTGCCCTCCTGCCGGCCATCCGTGAACAGCTGCGCAGCATCAACGCCAGCTCCATGGCCTGGGCCCGGTTGCACAGGCTGGAAGCCTCTATTACTGACCTGCAGGTACCCAGCGGCCGCGGCCTTCCTGTCCCCTTCCCCCTGCAGGCCCTCACTTTACTCTCCCTTTCCCAGAGCCAGCTCCGGATCCCCCTGGACCCCCGCCATGAGACAGCCCGGCAGCTGGAAGCACTGGAGCGGCAAAGTGCAAGCCTCGGGCAGGACGCACAGCAGCTGGGCAGCCAGGCAGGACCCGGGACCCTCCCCTCCACAACCCCCCCAGGAGACTCCTCACCCCAGAGGCCCTTGTCCCTCGGGACCATCAGGCCACCCTCCAGCTCCCTTGCCACCCCTGACTCATAGCTCAGGCCCCGACATGCCCACATCAGCAGGGGCTGTGGGCTGATGGGGCACTGCACCCACAGGCCGCGGGGTCCCGAGACCGGGCGGGCCAGCTGCTGGACAGCGCAGATGCCACACTGGGCCGGGCGCAGACACTGCAGGTGGCCATCCAGGCGGCGGCCCGCGCCCTGAGCGGTAGGTGATGCTCAGCTGGCCGATGCTGTGGACTCATGGCAAGGAGGGCCACCTTCAGAGGGCCAGGGTTCCCTGGAGGGCCACCATTTGAGCTGGGCCTTGAAGGACTGGCAGGCTCTATGTGTTTAGATGGGGAGATGGCACCTCTGGAGTAAACAGCAGGGTAGAGTCAGGCATGTGGCCAGGGCACGAGGGCCTGTGGACCCCTTCCTCAGCCCCCCTGGGAGTATACACCAGCCAGATGTTCACGCTCGTGAACTCCTTAATTACAAGTGAGACGTGCGATCAAGATGAGAGACTAGGGCTCCCTGAGCCTGCATAATGGGGACCTGGCTTATCCGGAGGGTCAGAAGTGTGAATCCAGCTGAGAGCTGGCCAGTGGGCAGGGGGTGGCCCGGCAAGGAGCCTGAGGAGCAGGCTGGGCAGACAGTTACAGGGTGCTGGGGCGGGGGCTGCGGGAGGCGAGGGGGTGGGCAAGAGGGGCCATCCAGGACATTCTTAGGTTCTTTGCTGGTGTGCTGCTGAGGATGCTCGAGCCTCAGGCCAGCCCCAGGCCCTGATGGCTCCCCACCCCCACAGAGCTTGAGTCTCAGACAGGCCACCTGTTGCCGGCAAACGCCTCAGCACCATCAGGCAAGCAGCTGCACCAGACACTAGCCGAAGTGGAGCGGCTGCTCAAGGAGATACGGGCCCGTGACCTGGGGGCCCCACGGGCAGTAGCTGAGGCCGAGCTGGCTGAAGCCCAGAGATGTGAGTGGTGTGGCCCGTCAGACGGGTAGGAGGGGGAGGGACTCGGCCTGTGAGGCCTGGGCTGAGGCCAGCATGGAGTGGCGTCGGGTTGTCTTCCAAGGGGCAGGTGGGTGCTGGCAGGCAGCAGGCAGGGACCAGGTGGAGATCAGAGGTCATGAAAGGATATGGCTACTGGCATGACGAGCCACACACCCGGCTCTTGGCCAGTGCTGGCCCATGTGCAGAAGCAGCTGACTAGCCTCTGGGAGGAGAACCAGGCACTGGCCACTCGCACCCGTGACCAGCTGGCCCAGCACGAGGCTGGCCTCATGGACCTGCGCGAGGCACTGAACCAGGCAGTAGGCACCACACAGGAGGCTAAGGAGCTGAACAGCCGCAACCAGGAGCGCCTGGAAGAGGCGCTGGTGAGGGGCCCAGCTCCTGCTCTGTCTCCCGCTCTCCACTCTCATGCCTTTCCTCCCCCATGACCCCCTTTTGCCCGTCGCTTCCTGTACTCCTGTTCCACTCCTCACCTTTGTTGTCCCCAAATGCTTCAGCAATGGAAGCAGGAGCTGTCCCAGGACAATACCACCCTGAAGGCCATTCTGCAGTCCGCCAGTGACACCCTGGCGCGAGTCTCTGGGCTTCTGCATGGCATGGACCAGGCCAAGGAGGTAAGCACAGCCCCCGGCCCCTCACACCCCCTCCCCAGCAGCTCATGCAGGGTGCACCCTCAGGGTCCCAGGGCCGGGGTCGGGATGAGGTCCTGCTAACCCCACCTGCCCCCAGGAGTTTGAGCACCTCGCTGCCAGCCTGGATGGGGCGTGGGCGCCACTGCTGCAGAAGATGCGGGCCTTCTCCCCTGCCAGCAGCAAGGTGGATTTGGTGGAAGCCGCCGAGGCCCATGCAGAGCAGCTGGACCAGCTGGCCCTCAACCTGTCCAGGTGCGTGGCCCAAAGAGCAGGGACCCTGGCCCACCCTGGGGATGCAACTGAAGCCCTACCCAGGGCCTGGAGAGGCCACTGATGTGTGAGGGATCCTTGAGGGAGAAACCCCTGTCCCCTAAGGTGCTGGTCTTCCTCGCCCCACAGGAAGTCAGGGCCCAGATTGGCAGGAAGCAGCAGGAGTGGTGCACCTGGCTGGCGGGAGGGCGTGACAAGGGCCCAGGGTTGGACGTGGCAGCTGGCTGGCCTCCTGCTGTGATGGCAGGAGGGGGCAAGCCAGGCTCAAGGTGCCAGTGCCCCCCCCACCCAAAATGCCCCTTTGACCCTCCCACCTCCGGCCACAGCATCATCCTCGGTGTTAACCAGGACCGCTTCATCCAGAGGGCCATCGAGGCCGCCAATGCCTACGGCAGCATCCTGCAAGCCGTGCAGGCTGCTGAGACTGCCTCCGGCCAGGCTCTGCAGCAGGCGAACCACGCGTGGACGGTGAGGCCTGGCCCTTCTGCAGCCCCAGCCTGAGGCTCCGCCCACCCCCACCTCCCGCCAGGTGAGTTTGAGCTGCCTCCATCCTCATGTCCGCAGACAGTGGTGCAGCGGGGCCTGGCGGCCCGAGGCCAGCAGCTGCTGGACAACAGCAGTGCACTGGAGGAGGCCGTCCTCGGGGAACAGCGGCGACTGGGCCGTGGTGAGTGCTGGGGTCCGTGGGGCACCTTGGGGGCCACCTGGGCATCCAGGCCTCGTGGTGACCCTCAGCCTCCAGGCTGCATCTGTGTGTCGGGCCTATGGATTGTCACCAGGTGACTCAGGGTGGAAAGTGTAGAGGCCTGGAGGCAGCTGCCCTGTGTGTGAATCCCGTTCCCTGCTTCCTCAATGTGTCCACCCCGGGACCCCTGCAAAGGCCTATTGTTCACCTTGGCCTGTGCCAAGGGCCATAGCCAGAGAGGGATAGCCTCTCAGGGGGCGCTGGCTGCCACCAAGGTGCCAGGAGGTAGGATGACGTGGGACCAATTGTGATTTTTCCTGCTCATCTGTGGACCCATTACCTTGCTGGCCTGAGGGTCACGTGCATGCTGTGCTGTTGGAAGAGAAAGGGGAGGTGTGGGCGCCCAGGAGCCCTGAGAACCAGGGTACTGGCTCCTCTAAGCCTCTGTTGTTTTGTCTGTAAAATGGGAGGATTACACCTTCCGTGGGACCAGAGGTCTTCAGGGAACTGGGCTGCCCCAAGATGGGGCTCCAAACATCCACCTAAGCTAAGGGCCCGGTGTCTCTGTCTAGCTTTCCATGGGTCAGGAGGACCAAGGTGGTCACCCACGTGCTGGGGTGGGGACTCTTGGGGACTGAATCTTCCTCCCCCACAGCGCGGGCCATCCTCCAGGGCACTGGGACCCAGCTTCGAGACGTCCAGGCCAGGAAGGACCAGCTGGCGGCCCAAATCCAGGAGGTACAGGCCATGCTGGCCATGGATACAGGTATGTTGGAGCCTTGCCTGGCCTCGCTTGGCACTGCTGCATCCCCAGAGGTGAATGGTATGCCTGGCTCTGCCCCGAGGTGCCATGCTAGCCACCATGCAGTAGGGCTGTGACGGTGGCCACATGTGGTGGGAGGAGGCTCCTAATGGGCAACACAGGACCAGATGCTGGGACCACAGGATGCCTCCCCAGGGGTGTGCCTCTGGCCAGGGACACAGACAATGAACCCAACAGCCTGGGTGTTCGGTGCAGACACAGGCCATGGGAGCACTTCCCACAGATGTGAAGGTGCGGCAGGTGGGGTGGCTCTGGTGGAGGGGGAGTTGGAGCTCCCCGCAGATGAGCCTGTTGACTCACAGGAAGGGCTTCTCAGCATAGCTGGAGCCCAGGGGCAAGGTGGGGCCTCGGCCAGCAAGGATCGTGGCTCCTACTCAGAGAGGGTTCGGGCCAAAGAGGACAGGATCTGACCAGGTTTTCAGGGGGTCTCTATGGTTGCCAGAGGGTGGGTGGGAGGGAGGCTGGTGCCTGTCCTGGGATGGGAAGGACATCTGGGGGGCACTGAGGATTGGTTTTGACAGTGCTAAGCTACAGGGCAGGAGGGTCTCACAAGATCTCTGGTGGGGGTCAATGTCCCTGTTGCTGGCCCAGCCAAGGGACCTAGAGTCATGAAGTCAGAATGGTTCTTGCCACCCTCCTGCTGAGCCTGCCCTCCTGCCACAGATGAGACGAGCCAGAAGATCACTCACGCTAAGGCTGTGGCTGCTGAAGCCCAGGACACAGCTGCCCGTGTGCAGTCCCAGCTGCAGGACATGCAGAGAAACCTGGAGCACTGGCAGGGCCAGTTTGGGGGCCTGCGGGGCCAGGACCTGGGTCAGGCAGTGCTGGATGCAGGCCGCTCAGGTGGGCAGCAGCCCTCATGTGCCCCTGCTGGGGGTGGGTGGGGTGGGGAGGCGCAGTCTGAGGGCCGCCTCCCACCCTGCAGTGTCTACCCTGGAAAAGACACTGCCTCAGCTACTGGCCAAGCTGAGCCTCTTGGAGAACCGTGGGGCACACAACGCCAGCCTGGCCCTGTCCACCAGCATTGGCCGCGTGCGGGAGCTCATCGCCCAGGCCCGGGGAGCTGCCAGCAAGGTAGGCGCGAGTCCCAGGGGAAGGTGGGCTCCAGGAGGCCAGGTGGTGGATACTGACAGGCACTGTCCACCAGGTCAAGGTGCCCATGAAGTTCAACGGGCGCTCAGGGGTGCAGCTGCGTGCCCCACGGGACCTCTCCGACCTTGCTGCCTACACCGCCCTCAAGTTCTACCTGCAGAGCCCAGAGCCAGCACCCGGGCAGGACGCAGGGGACCACTTTGTGCTGTACATGGGCAGCCGCCAGGTGTGGGGCAGGCTGGGTGGCCTGGGGCCACACAGGCATCTGGTTGTTAGAGGGTGGTGCTTGGTCCCTGTCCTGACTGTATCTCCTCCGCCACGCAGGCCACTGGGGACTACATGGGTGTATCTCTGCGCAACCAGAAGGTGCACTGGGTGTACCGGCTGGGGGAGGCCGGGCCCACAGCCCTTAGCATCGATGAGGATATCGGGGAGCAGTTTGCAGCCATCAGCATTGACAGGTGGGAGGCTCTAGGAGAGGGCTGGGTACAGGGCCCGGGGACTCTCCTCACCCACACGTCTGCCCTCAGAACCCTCCAGTTTGGCCACATGTCCGTCACGGTGGAGAAGCAAATGATCCATGAGACCAAGGGTGACACTGTGGCCCCTGGGGCAGAGGGGCTGCTCAGTCTGCGGCCTGACGACTTCGTCTTCTACGTGGGGGGGTACCCCAGCAACTTCACGGTGAGCCTGGCCCAGCCTCAGAGCAGCCTTGGAGCAGGCTCAGCAGCCCTGCACCTCTTGTCCTGGGAAGTGCCTCTTGGTGTTTCGCCTCAGTCCATCCTGCTGCAGCCTGAGTTCCCACTGGTCTGTGCTGGGTGGGGAAGCGCCTCGGTCCAGGCGCCCTGACTATGTGCTGTGCCCACAGCCCCCCAGCCCGCTTCGCTTCCCTGGCTACCAGGGCTGCATCGAGATGGACACACTGAATGAGGAGGTTGTCAGTCTCTACAACTTTGTGAGGACCTTTCAGCTCAACACGGCCGTGGATAAGCCTTGTGCCCGGTATGTGCAGCCTGGCCCCAGCACCCCCGCTCACCCTGCTCTCCGCTGAGCCCAAAACCTCTGACCTGCAGGTCCAAGTCGACTGGGGACCCATGGCTAACAGATGGCTCCTTCCTGGACGGCTCTGGCTTCGCCCGCATCAGCTTTGAGAGTCAGATGAGCAACACCAAGCGCTTCGAGCAGGAGCTACGGCTCGTGTCCTACAGCGGGGTCATCTTCTTCCTGAAGCACCAGGCATGGCCCGCCCCTGCCCGCCCCGCATCCCATCCTTGCCCACACTGACCCTGTCCTCTGTCTCACTAGAGCCAGTTCCTGTGCCTGGCGGTGCGTGAGGGCAGCCTCGTGCTTCTCTATGACTTTGGCACCGGCCTGAGCGAGGCCATCCCGCTGCAGCCCCCACCACCCCTCTCCGCGGCCAGCAAGGCGGTGAGGCCAGAGCGAGCGGGGGAGCAGCGGGTAGGACGGGGGCATGGCAGGGAGGGCTGGTCGGCCACTGCTCACCCCGACACCTGCTCCGGTGCCCTCCAGATCCAGGTGTTCCTGCTGGGGGGTGGCCGCAAGCGCGTGCTGGTGCGTGTGGAGCGGGCTACAGTGTTCAGCGTGGAGCAGGACAACGCGCTGGAGCTGGCTGATGCCTACTACCTGGGGGGCGCACCGCCCGACCAGCTGCCCCCAAGGTGAGGATATGGTGCCTCAGGGTGGTGAGACCCAGCGTGGCCTGGGCTGGGGCTCAGAGGAGGCCACCCCTGACCCTCGTGCCTGTAGCCTGCGGCGGCTCTTCCCCTTGGGAGGCTCCATCCGTGGCTGCGTTAAGGGGATCAAAGCCCTGGGCAAGTATGTGGACCTCAAGAGGCTGAACACGACAGGCGTCAGCTCCGGCTGCACTGCGGACCTGCTGGTGAGCTGCCCTCCTGAGACCCAGCTGGGCAGTGCCCTCTCCCAATGGGCAGGGCGGGCACTCAGGGATGGCCTCCGCAGGTGGGACGTGCCATGACTTTCAACGGCTACGGCTTCCTGCCCCTGGCGCTCCCTGATGTGGCACCCCTCAGTGGCGATGTCTACTCTGGCTTTGGCTTCCGCAGCACCCAGGACACCGGTCTGCTCTACTACCGAGCATCTCCGGTGAGCCTGCCCCTGCGCCCCCTGCAGTGTACCTGGGCCTCTCCCTGCCCGCAGCTGCCCACCTACCTGCTCAGGAAGCTGGAGGGAGTGAGTTTGCACCCTTGGCCTGGCTGGCTGACCTGGCTGCTGTCCCCAGGACGGTCCATGCCAGGTGTCCCTGCAGCAGGGCCATGTGACCCTCCGGCTTCTAAGGACTGAGGTGAAAACTCGAGGAGGCTTCGCCGATGGTGCCCCCCACTATGTTGCCTTCCACAGCAACACCACAGGGTAAGCCCCACCTGCACCCATCTGGGCCTGTTCTTCTCAGGGCGAGGGGTGAAGCCTGGCCCTGAAGGAAGGGTCAGGCAGGGCTGGGCACACACCACCCTCCCGCCTCCCAGGGTCTGGCTGTATGTGGATGACCAGCTGCAACAGATGAGATCCCACCGGGGGACACGCCCTGGGCTGCAGCCCCAGCCTGAGGGGTCACCACGGCTCCTCCTGGGAGGACTGCCTGAGTCTAACACCTTCCACAACTTTAGTGGCTGCATCAGCAATGTTTTTGTGCAGCGGTGAGCTAGGCTGGTGTGGGGGGCACGGTCCCAGATGTCCACCCCAGCTGCTGACTGGCCACAACCCTCCACAGCCTCATGGGGCCGCAGCGCGTGTTTGACCTGCAGCAGAATGTGGGCGGCGTCAACGTGAGCACCGGCTGTGCCCTGGCTCCTCGCAACCAGACCGCAGGGCAGGGGCCACAAGGACTCCGCGCTGCAGCTCGGAAGGTGAGCACCAGGGCTGGTGTGAAAGCAGAGCGGGGGCTAGGGAGGCCCTATGCAGATGGGCCCTGCATCCTGTCCATGCCCACAGGCCTCCCGCCGCAGCCGTCAGTCTACCCAGGACCCTGCCTGCACACCACCCCTGCACCTCAGGACCATCCGAGACACCTACCAGTTTGGGGGGTTCCTGTCCAGTCACCTGGAGTTTGCAGGCGTCCTGGCCCCCTACAGGGACTGGTAAGGCAGGGCCAGGCTTGGGGGGCACAGAGGGTTTGCCTAGGCTGACACCCTGCTTGGCTTCTAGGCCCCACCTCTCGCTGCTCGTCCGCCCTCGTGCCCCCCAGGGCCTCGTGCTCTTTGCGGCCCCCCTGACGACCAGCAGCCCCTCCCTGGCACTCTTCTTGAGCCACGGACACTTTGTCGCACAGACGGAAGGCCCTGGGCCTCTGCTCCGCGTCCAGAGCCGCCAGCACTCCCGGGCTGGCCAGTGGCACACGGTAAGGGGCTGGGGCTAGGAGACATGGGCATGGTCCTGTGAGCACCTGCCTGACCTTCCCCCTGCTCACCCCCAGGTGTTGGTGCGCTGGGAGAAGCGTCGAATCCAGCTGGTGACAAATGGGATCCGGGCCTGGAGCCAGGAGAGCCCCCGCCAGCAGCCCCACGGGGAGAAAGAGGGCCCTCGGCCCCACACCCTCTTTGTGGGGGGCCTCCCTACTGGCAGCCACAACACCAAGCTGCCGGTGAGAACTGTCTCACCCCAGCCCTTGCCTCTGGCCTGTCCTCACCGGCGTCCACCTTCCCCAGCAGCCCCGGGGCCTAACCCAGGCCCGTCTGTTCCCCACAGGTGGCCACCGGCTTCAGTGGCTGTGTGAAGAGACTGAGGCTGGATGGGCGGCGGCTGGGGGCCCCCACACGGACAGTGGGGGTCACACCTTGCATCTCAGGCCCCCTGGAGGAGGGCCTGTTCTTCCCTGGCAGTGGGGGAGTTGTCACCCTAGGTCTGTGGGCACTGGTGACACCAGGCAAGGTGGGGGAGGAGCCACGCCAGGGTTCTGGGAGGTTCTGGGAAGGGGCTGGGCCTTCCTCTCCCATCACAGCTTCTCCCTGCAGACCCCCTGGGGGCCACGCTGCCTGATGTGGGCCTGGAGCTGGAGGTGCGGCCCCTGGCAGCCACGGGCCTGATCTTCCACCTGGGCCAGATCCAGGGCCCCCCATACCTGCAGTTGCAGGTGTTGAAGAAGCAGGTAAGCCTGCTGGAGGCTTCGGCACCAGGGCTTCACCTCCTCACTCTGGGGGTCTTGGGTTGGCAGGGCCTGACCCTTCCCCCCACCCCAGGTCCTGCTGCGGGCAGACGACGGGGCAGGCGAGTTCTCTACATGGGTGAGGCGCCCCACAGCACTGTGTGATGGGCAGTGGCACCGTGTGGCAGGTGAAGGGCCCCTACCCTGCCAGGGACACCCCACCTCCCACCCTTCTGCACAACAGGGAGCCTGGGCGGGGCCCAGGGGCGGGGCCAGCCGTGGCAGTGGGTAGGGCTGTGGCTGGGCTGGGAGGGCCAGCCATGAGGAGTCAGTCTGTCCTGCAGCTATCAAAGGCGGGAACATGCTCCGGCTGGAGGTGGACACACAGAGCAACCACACCATGGGCCCCTCGCCGGCAGCCTTGGCCGGCGTCCCAGCACCTCTGTACCTCGGGGGCCTGCCTGGTGAGTCTGGCCTCAGCCTAGGTGGGGTAGCTGCCCCCCCTGGGGCAGGCCCTGGGTAACCCAACTCCCACCCCGCTCTCCCATGATGGGGCAGCGAGGGTGGCTAAAGCTGGACAGGCAGGTGGGTGACCGATGCACGGGAGGGCCTGTGGGACCCACTCTAACCACCTTTCCTCCATCTTCCCTGCACCCAGAGCCCACACCGGCGCAGCCTGGACCACCCACCTGGGCAAGCCCTGGGCCTCCAGCTTACCATGGCTGCATGAGGAAGCTGGTGGTGAACAGGTCCCCTGTCGCTGTGACTCACACTGCAGGGGTCCAGGGGGCAGTGGGGGCCAGCGGCTGCCCAGCCCCATAGTGCAGCTGCCTCCCACCCCCAGCGTGGCTGTGCTCTCCCTCACACTTCTACCACGTGGTGGCAGCAGCAGTCACCTCCGCTGAAGCCCAGCCCAGGCCAGGTGCAGCAGGGACAGGCAGCTGCAGCGGGCTGGCCAGGCAGGCAGGGTCAGGGCCACTGCTGTGGCGCCCGGCTGCCACCTGTCCTGCCTCCTCGAGCCCCTGGCCCTCTACACAGCTTAGAAATTCACACAGCCCCTCCATTCACCACCGTATGTTTCACAGACAGAGTTTGTGTGTGTATCTAGACTCTAGGTTCTACGGGTGATAGATCTTATTTCTGGAAATGGTTTAAATTATATCTTTTTTAAAAAAAGGATAAAACACTGTAAAATGGGGTTTTTTATACTTTTTATCTCCTTTCACCAATTTTTAATAGTATAAAAGATCTGTAAGTCACTAGTTCCTTCTTAAGACAAAAATTAAAAAGCACCTTCCCTCTAACTAAGTGTTGACTTTAAATTTGAAAAGAAATGAAGTCCCAGGCAGGTCAGGCACTTGGGTCCGATGTAGAGGCAAGTAGGCCTGTGGGGGATGACCTCGCCCGTTGGGGACAACCTCGGAGATACTTCACCTCCCCTAATCTCCTCCCAGCCACCCGGCACCAAGTGACTGTCGCACACCATTAAGTCAAAGAACTTTCACAATGAAAACCTGCAGAGAAAGGGGAAGGGGCAGCTCTCACATCAGCTCCTGTCCTGCCAAGAATGGGAGGGACCACTGCAACTCATTGTGGGCACAAAGAAGAACTAGAGTTGGCAGATAAAAGAGAAAACTTTTATTTATTAGTGAGCTTAAACAGGTGAGGATATGCAATGAATCACAAACGCCACTACTAGACTCACAGGACTAGGATTTCTAATTCCTTAAGACAGCAAATAACTTAATCTAAACTCATATCTTCCTCTTCATCTTTCTTGTCTTTTGTGTCGTCCTCTTTCTGCTCGGATTTGGCATTGTTCTGCATAGCTTTGGCAAATGCTTCCACATCTAAAATTCATTTAAAAACATGAGGCCACTTTTTCTAAGCCCTCGCCCAGGCCTGCTGATCAGAGGGGGTGGGAGGTAAAAATTAGACAGCGGGGCCCCCACCCGTCAGCCCCACAGTATGCAAACTGAGGGAGAGAGGAAAAAAAAGGGGGCTCTTCCCTGGTCTTGGCCATGAGGCAGGGAGGCAAGTACTTACCGCCCTTGTTGGCGGCCTCCACAGCCTCCGCAGGCAGACCAAACTGGCACATGAGGGGGCCCAGTTGCCCCGAGGCCAAGGCTGCGCTGAACATGCCCAGGGCCTGCAAGGAAGAGCCACGCACTGAGCTTTGTGAGGGGGGCTGCACCCTGAGCCATGTGCTGTGAGGCACCCAACTCGAGCAGGGCCCAGAGATGCCAGCAGAGGGAGAAGCACTGAGGCCTGGGAGCCACCAGCTCTGCAGGTCACACATGTAAGGTGACAGGATACACTGCAGGCAGAGCAGAGGATCTCCCCCTCCTGAGCGAGCAGCAGGGGGAACCCTGGGCCGCAGCACCTACCTGCTGGAACTGGGGCGAGGTCAACGTGTTCTGGATCTCATCCGCAGTCTGTGGCAGTGACTCTCCAGAGGGCAGGTAGGGCAGCAGGCGCTCCTGGACGTCCGCGTTGGCAAGGATGGGGGCCATGATCTCTGGTGTCAGCACACTGGCCAGGTCCACTAGGGTGTAAGCACATGGCCGTCAGCAGCTCAAGCCAGCCCAGGTGCCAACACGGAGGCCGGCATAGACTCCAAGCCCTAGAAGCTGCTGGGCTTGGCGAGGCGAGGGGTAGGCAAGCATGGGATCTGCTCCGTGGCCACAGTGCCCCCGTGCCCACATGCAGGGCAGCAGCTCGGCCCAGGGACACATTCAGCCTGTGTCTCAGCCAGCCAGCGAAGGAACAGGACAGGGACAGCAGGCACCTTCACCCCCCAGCTTCATGCCAATGGAGCGCGCTCTTCACCTTGCTGGCCGCCTCCTGGCCCAGCCGGCACATTCATGGTGGCTAGGATGCTCTGGAGGTCACTCAGCTGGATGGGCTGGGTTGGGCTGGCTGCTGCGCTGGCTCCGTCACCTGAACTGGGTGCGGGGCTTGGACTAGTCGCTGAGGCAGCAGCTGGAGCAGTAGGGGCTGGGGTGGCGCGGGTAGAAGAGGTGGTGGAGGATGGGGTGACCGCTGCCGACTGGCTCCGGGAACTGGGAAGAGTGAGGGCAGCGCTGTAGCAGCCATGCTGTGACAAGGCACTTACAACACGTCAGTCCTACTCCAAAGGTCCAGGGATTATCACACAGGAATGGGCTCAGCCATGAAAGACCCTCCCTCGATGCTTATTTTGTCCATCCCCATCTCCTGCACTGAGTCTCCCTACAGAGGAGACACGAGGTGGCACTGGTGTCGCGGTGGCAGGATGTGGGACTCACCTGGAGGAAGAGCTGCTCGCTGGAGGTCCTCCACTCCCCAGTAAGCTGGCCAGGCCTGGCCCTGTCAGGGCCCCAAGCCCACCTGTGAGGAGCAAGGAGGCGTATGCTCAGGACTTCCCACAGCCCGGCCCACCCAGGAGAGCCCAGCCCACCTCCCCAGGCCAGAGCAGCTGGCACATCTGACACCAATGCCAAAGGACAAGTAGGGATCATGGTGAACATGGGAGGCCTCGGGAATGCGGGTGGGCGACAGCTTGGGCCTGTGCCCTGGAAGCTTATTCCATCCCATTACACTATTAAAATAAAATTCAGTCCAACCACAGCCAACATAATGAGCACTTCCCACGTGTCCAGCACACCTGCCAGCGCCCAACACAGGTGGATAGCAGGCAGGCCGATGGGGGACCAGTGGCCCCAGGCAGGATGTCCTGAGGCCACGCTCCCCTCGTGCCAAGCTGGGGTCCTCCCAGGAAGGCCTCATCTACCCAGCTCCCAGCTGACGGCGAGCAGGTGCCTTCCCAAAGGGGAGCCAGCACAGGGAACACTCTCGGACCAGCGCTGCTCAGGCTGAGCCAAGCAAAAGCTGAACAGAAACGCAGGCTTGACTCCAGTGGCAGCTGCAGCGGGAGCCGTCTTAACCCGCATCAAGGGCTCCAGAGAGCCGGGCTGGTGCCTCACCCAGTCCTCCAAGGCCGGCCGGTCCGATGAGCTGCATGAGCTGGCTGTGACTCATGTTCCCCAGCAGGCTCTGCAGGCCGCCCTCACCTGGAAAACACAAGGGGCTCAGCCCTGCACCAGCCCCACCGCACCTGGGTAGGGTGCCCATGCCACTGAAGGCTCCAGCTGCCCCCAAATGTACAGTGAGCGTCACTTGAAACGAAGCAGAGGTAGAACTCAGACACATCCTAACCCTTGAAGATGGGAGTGGGAACAAACCCAGGAACTGAAAACGGGGGCCTCTAATTTAGAATCTTTTTTTTTTTTTGTCTTTTGTCTTTTGTCTTTTTCCGTGTCCGGCAACGGATTGCAACCCTCAGTGTTGCCCCCGTACCGGACCGGGGACCGGCAACGGGATCGCAACCCTCGGTGTTGCTCCCGCGCCTCGCTCAGCCAGTGAGCGGGAACCGGTCTGTATGTGGGATCCGAACCCTCGGGCAGGAGCGCCACCGCGCTTCCCAAGCGGCGCACTTATCCAGTGCGCCACAGGGCCGGCCCTAACTTAGAATCTTCTATTCCCACTTAAAAATGACTGCCTGCACCACCAGGGCTCCAGTCATCTGCAGTGGACTGCAAGCTCCCAGCAGACACTGGAAGGGACCATTACCGCCGAGGGCAGAGAGCTCGTGGCCTCCACTCCCACTCGCCCCCAGCGCCCCAGGCATCGGGGGGTTGTTGAGATACTCGTTGACTTTGCGGCAGTGCTCCTCATCCTGGTCAGTCTTGGGCTCCTGCAGGGGAAAGGCACAGTAAGAGCCATAGCAAGGCAACAGATGCGAGGAGCTGGTACATGGCGGCTCACTTCTGAGCACTTGCCACAGGCATCCTCCACCTGGGTTACAGATAAGGGACCTCAGACAAAATCACTCGTGTACGGCCACACATCACCAAGGAGACAGGACCCAGCCTAGGCGCCTGACAGGGACAGCAGCGGCGCCTCCTGAGCACAGTGCTCACCCTGTGATGTCCCATCTGCCAGAATCACCGGTGCTAGATGGAATGCCCATCTCACAGATGGGGAGATTAGAGCCTTGACAGTACTTAGCAGCCTCCAGGCCAACCCCTCCCGTCATCTAGGGTATGGTTCTTTATACACAGTCTCCTTCAACCACTATCCAATGGCCACGGAAGGCCCTCAACAAATGAGCACACACATGCACACACATGTTCAAGTGTGTGCAGGATCATCAGACAGTGTCACCCTGCAAGTTGCCCCCAGAACTGTGAGACAAAACTGCCATGATGGTCCCTGAGCACCTGCCACAGACCTGCAGGGTGCTTGGGAAACAGAGTGAGGACAAGGCGGACCCAGTCCCTGCCCTTGTGGCAAAGGGGGAAGAAAAGTATCCAACAGGAATAAAATCAAAAATAAAGAAGATGGGAGGTGACAGAAGTTTGATGACGTGTCCCGGCAAAACTGTGGAGAAACATGTTTTACCTCTGCAGTTAGCAAACCACGGCCCCATTCTGCGCTTGCAAATAAAGTTTTATTGGAACATAACTATGCCCATTTATTTCAATATGCTCTTTGGCTGCTTTCACACTACTTGGGCAGTGGTGAGCAGCTGCAGCACAGACCACCCACCACACAAAGAGGAAGATATTTCCTCCCTGGCCCTTCACAGAAATGGTCCCCCCCACCCCACCCCTGGGGTAAGGGCAGCAGTTCAACCTCTGGCAAGGAACCCTGGCAATATCTGTCCAAACTGCAAATGTGTGTGCATTTCTTTCAAATGCACAAGCCTACTTCTAGCTTTTAACCTACAGATTATGCACACACACGGGAAATAATCTGTGTGACAGGTAAGTCTTTGCAATACTGCCTGTGATAGCACAAGACATGGAAATAAGCTCAACAGCTGCCAACAGGTGGCAGAATGAGTAGTAGCTGCTCAATCCACAAACACTCTGCAGCTATGGGTAAGAAGCCCTGTGCTGACACCCAGAGGCCTCCAGAACACACCTTGAGGGAAGAGGCAGGGCTCACGAGAGGTTGGGGAAAACACTGTTTCTGTGAGAAATATGACAGGGAGACTACACTGGGTCTTCCCTGCCTCTGCTTTTGGGGCCTCAGTGACCATGGAAAGGGGGCAGAGAAGGGGCTTTGAGAAGCATTCAAGCCAGAGACAGAGTACCTGTTGATGCTTCAGTGACACAGGGCCCAGCCTGCCCACCTGGGAATGCCACACCACGAACAGGAGCCTGGAGCAGCCATGAAAGTCTGGACTCTGGAGGAGTCCCCACCTCCATTCCCACCGCCCTCACCATCAGGTAACACTGAAGCCCTTATGTGCCATGCCTCAGGCAAGTTCAGTCAGCACCAGTTGGTTTGTGAAAGCCAATTCCCCCAGATAGTGAGCGAGTTTCTAACTAAACTACATGGTGACAAAAAAAGGCAAAACACAAAACAGACCCTTCCACATACCTGCATCCAAAAGAAGAGCCGCTTGGACCCTGCCTTGAACTTGAGGACGTAGACCCTCCCGCTGGGGCACTGAGGCACCCGCTTGAACTCGCAGTCATCAGGGAAGATGATCAAGTCCTGGCAGGCCACAAGAGAGGAAGGGTCAGCCTCGCACAAGCGTGCATCCCTGAGCCCCCAGTCTCCCAGGAAAAGAGGGCAGACCCTTCATCTAACGTAGCGGTGAGTAACGAACAGGGGGTGCAAAGATGGGCAAGTCACCAAGTTCCTCGCTAGCAGGATCCCCACAGGGCGGACGAGCCAGGGTCAGAGACACCACCACGAAGGGCAGGTCCCCGAGTGAGGGCCAGGAGAGGGGCTTGGTGCAGCGAACAGGGAAGATGGGCTTTGCGATCTTGAAGGATTTTTAGTAAAGACATCTAGGGACCAAATTCCAACTCTGACCTGCTCTTGAGTGTGACAAAGGACCACCCAGGGTGAAGAACAAGCACTAAATAAAGGGACAACCCCAGAAAGCTTTCTCGAGGGCTGTGATAAAGATCCGGTTTCTACAGACTCCTCCAGGCCCCTCACGATTCAAGTTCGAGGCGCACACAGTGACGGGTGACCACCGGGGCGGGACGGTCCCCACGCGGCACGGCTGGGGACAGCCACCGAGCCGACGTCGGAGCAGCACTCACGTCCTCCACGTTCCCGGACGGGTCAGTTGCAATATCACCTTTTTCATTTCTAATTTTTGTTATTTGAATCTTCTCTCTTCTTATTTTTGTCCATGTTCCTGGACATCCTGTCCTTCCAGCAGAAGTGGATGAGGGAGTCGTCCGTCTGCTGGATGTACACCAGCCCTTTCCGCTTGTCTGGGGTCACGGTGGTTCCTTTCAACGACATCTTCCCGGCCCGAAACCCCACCAAGTATTTGTTGGAGGACCCGTGGGAGCCCGGCACCAGGCTTGGGAACAGCGCGCCCGAAGTCGCCATCCTGGCCCACCCCATGCTCGGCCCTCGGCGCCGTCCCTATGATTGTTATGTCTTCTTGATGGATCAGTCCTTTAATCATTATGTAGTGTCCCTCATTGTCTCTTTTTATGGTTTTTAGTTTAAAGTCTACTTTGTCAGATATAAGAATAGCTACTCCAGCTCATTTTTCTTTTCTGTTTGCATGGTAAATCTTTTTCCATCCTTTCACTCTTAGTCTTGTGAGTCTTTATGGGTGAGGTGGGTCTCTTGAAGGCAGCATATAGTTGGGTCCTCCTTTTTATTCCAGTTAGCCAGTCTATGTCTTTTGACTGGGGAATTTAAGCTTTTTACATTAAGAGTTGTTATTGAAAAGTGTTGATTTATTCCCAGCATTTTATTGATTGTTGTTTGCTTGTCTTAGATGTCTTTTGTTCCTTGTTCAAGACAGAAGTTTTTAAAAAGCAACCA